ATTTACCATTGCATCAATCTTTGAATACACCAAAAAAGATGACGCACCCGCTGTCTTCAAACCTTTCATGTATATCAAGCTCCAATACAGAAATACAATGAAGATCGCGACGCTCAGTGAAACTAGCAGAGATATCCAGAAAATGCAAGCCAATAGAGTTCGCCAAATCTTTGCTACTACTTCCTTTCAATTTTCCATTGTCCATTTGCAAAACGTGTACGCTCTCTTCAGAAGTGCGGTCGCGTCTGTGGAAGATATTAAAGGTATACGCTGGACCTTGACGTACTGGCGTCTCCATAGCTCAATTACCAACAAGTCAGCGGCACATGAAGGTAACTCAACAGGTCTTGATACTTCGCAAGGCTCTCTTGTTCTATGTATATTGACCTACTCTTAAGTAGACGCTTCTGACGATGTATGCATGGATAGGGCGGCCAAAAGGTTTATCGAGAAAGTTGATGACTCTAGTAAAAATGCGGGATTGTTCAATCGATATAAATATATTAATTACTCGGCGGGTTACCAAGACCCGATCAGTGGATATGGTGATGAGATGAAAAGCAGCTTGCAAGCTGTGAGGAAGAAGTATGATCCTGAGGGGGTTTTCCAGACTGTTGTTCCAGGTGGATTCAAGATATCACGTTAGGAAACGTTGGTAGAGTTGACAGATAGATCTTATTGGTAGTTACAAGAGCTTATCTCGAGTTTGAGCAGAAAGGCAATCATAATGAATGTTTTCGCATTTTAATAGGTATACTACTGTAGCTGTTTCTGGGGATGAAGTTGATTCTATCCTACAATCCTCCGGCACGGAAAAACAACCTTAGAAGGGTCCACCTGCCAACTTACGATTTAACCTAATTAGGCGATATATCAGCAGAATTCCATTTCCAGGGTGCTTTTTAAGCTATGTAAGAGAGTATTAGGGTATTTTCAAATTGATATAGGCTATTAAGCCCTGAATTGTGTCAAGGCGGTGACCTAATTAGGGTAGGCAGTCAGCTTAGTTTGGCCCTGTGGATCCTTCTACGGCATTCACCAACCAATCAACAAAGAAGCGGGGCCGGATCTCAACCATTTTCCCGGTGGGTTATGTAACACACGGTCGGAAAAGGTATCTTGGTGGAGGTCTGTTCCGTTCCGCCAGAAAAGTCAACACACTCACGGTAAGGTCAGATTCAAGCTTTAACCGTATTGATTCTATCGTAATGCTTGACAATCCATTGGCGATAGATTACGGTCCAGGTGAGAAAAGAGGGCAAGATCTACGAAATCCTTGTTGGATTTCATCTGAAAAGGGTATACGATACGTTCAGGTGTTGAGATCCAAAACTTCCTTTCGTTCGCGAGTGCTTTGGGCCATAATTACAATCTCATTGTTTTTATTCTTTCGAAGCAACTCATTAATAACACTGTATCCTTATGTTGATTAGGGCATTTTTCATTTCCTTTCCAATATATGATTACGATAGTACATACAGTCAGTCATTGAAGCCTCTTTTCGCGAGTAACAAGTGGAATCGTTTGCGCCCGGATCTCAAGTTACGTACAATTAGCACAACATTCGAAACTTGCGACGAAGCAGATGTACTTTTAGGTTTCATTCACATCTATTACTTTTTTACAAAAGATTCTTTCGGTGGCAAATTGTTACATTGTTACATCGTTACAATTTCACAGGCATTTTATGCTACCTTCCTATTTTCATTGAAACTTCAGTCAGCCTGGGAAGGATTGCGGAGGCGGCGCATTTCTCGATCCGACCCCACCCGCCATTTAAGTACTTGACACTCTGCCAACATATGCCAATTCTTAGAGTAGTTCTAATTTGTCCGTCTTCATGTCGTCTATTCCCTTTAAAAGACTACTGGTCTTACCGACCACTCTTTCGTATGCACTGGTTCAATATAAACCAGATGCATTGTCATCCTCACGCCCAAGTTACCTAGGAACATTTGTGCAACTATATCTGTTACAGTTCATAGGGTTTGTGATATGGAGAGTGATCTTATATCCTTTCTATTTTTCACCACTTAGACATTTGCCAACGCCGAAAGGTGGTAGTTGGTGGAATGGTCAATGGAAGAGAATTTCTGGAGAGCCGACTGGACAGCCTATGCTTGACTGGTATGCTTCAATCCTTATATACTCACACATATATCTAATGATGTAATAGGATAGAGGAAGTTCCAAATGATGGAATCATACGATATTTGGGGATCTTAAATTCGGAGCGAGTTATGGTCACAAATGCCAAAGCGCTCAGCGAAGTTCTTACCACTAAAAATTATGACTTCGTCAAACCGTCTACTGTTCGCCTCGGAATAGGGCGTCTCCTTGGAATTGGAGTTCTTTTGGCGGAGGGGGATGAACATAAAGTACAGAGAAAAAACCTCATGCCCGCATTCGCATTTCGGCATGTTAAGAATTTGTATTCCGTTTTCTGGGATAAATCTTGTGAAGGGTTAAAAGCCATGACCACGGAAGTCAAGGCGAAAGAATGCGGCGATATTCCCAACGATATGATCGGAGAAAAGAATGGAAATGATGAAAATATTGACCAGCCAGAGAAGGGTGTGGCCATCATAGAAGCCATGCAGTGGGCAAGTAGAATAACACTGGACATAATCGGAGCCGCTGGCCTGGGCAAAGATTTTGGTGCCATCAAGGACCCTGATACATTACTCAATAGGACTTATAGGACTGTCTTCAAGCCAACACGCTCTGCGCAGATTCTTGGATTCCTCCAGCTTTTCCTACCTGGATGGTTCGTGAAAAGGATACCCATCAAGAGAAATGGAGAGATCGAGGGAGCTGCAGAAACTATCAGATCCGTTTGTAGAGATCTCATTCGCGAGAAAAAAGCGAAGCTAGAGAAAAAAGAGCTGACTGATGTGGATATTCTAAGTGTCGCACTGGAGAGTGGAGGCTTTCCCGATGAAAACCTCATTGATCAACTTATGACTTTCCTAGCAGCTGGCCACGAGACCACTGCGAGTGCGATGGCTTGGGCAATTTATCTACTCTGCGCATATCCAGAAGTCCAATCTCGTCTTCGGGAGGAAGTCCGTGCAAAACTTCCTAGTCCAGACTCAACTGCTACTGTCACAAACCAGGATATCGATTACATGCCTTATCTAAACGCTGTCTGTAACGAAATCCTCCGCTATTTTCCACCTGTTCCTCTCACTCTTCGTGAAGCCGCTGTTGATACGATTATTTCCGGCCATCGAATTCCCAAGGGCACACGTGTAATGCTTATTCCATGGGCCATCAACAAAGACGAAAAGATGTGGGGTCCTGCTGCGCGGAAGTTCAACCCTGATAGATGGTTGCCCGAGAATGGCGAGTCTCATAATACGAGCGGAGGAAGCTCAAGTAATTATGCGTTTCTTACTTTTTTGCATGGGCCAAGAAGTTGCATTGGGCAAACATTTGCGAAAGCGGAGTTTGCAATTTTGTTGGCGACCTGGATTGGGAGGTTTGAGTTTGAGTTGAGGGATAAGAAAATGATGGATGAGAAGAATTTGGATATTAAAGGGGGAGTAACGGCCAAACCGGCAAAGGGTCTGTATGTTAAGGTTAAGGTTATTGAGGGTTGGTAGAAATTGGGGGTTGGAAATGGTAAAACGTGCGGAGACGGGATGGGTTTGCACATAAATCACATACACTCTACCACTTTTAAACTGTGTACAGTTATATGGCGTTATGGATGATGTTTAGTTTGTTCCAAGATTTTTCAAAATTTCGAGGTCTCGTTTTTCGCAACTGAGAAAATGTGATGTTCGATTATTCCAAGCTCTCCGCTCTCTTAAACTGACAAGGTTTGTTTGTCCTGGTGACTCGCCAGACACGACTTCCAGTTTCCGAGTAGATTTGCACCTTTCCAGATAACTTGCACTCGTGTCCCACATGTTAATTTTATGGAATCCAGTGAAGTTCTACTCATCATAACCTAAAATAGTGGGAATATCTAGATCGGAATCATTGCCGCGTCTTGTGGTAGCATAGGACTTTGATGAACCGTATTTTTCTCCGCTGAATTCAATGTGGGGATTGGGGCAGCTGGCTAGGTATTTTTTGGATATTTGATCTTCCTGGTTTTTTTGTATTGAGTGAGAGATTGGTGAGCTCGGATTCGGTGTAATTTGATGGATGTTTGGTGTGTAAGTAATGGTTGGTTTGCGGTGGAGCAGATGCAAATGTGGATGAGGAGCCGTGTATCCAGACTCGCGATTGTAGTTCAAAAAATGATGGACTTTTGGATATTGAAATCATTGGAATGATGAAATTATCTAAAATAATGGGATAATTTTGAATATTGGAATGATTTAGAATATTTGAACTATTTAGATAAATGAAGTATTTTGACAAAAATAGAAATTCCACATCTAGCCTGTCAGTCTGGAACATTGGACACTCTGATGAGGATATATATATCGATCTAGAAAAAGGGATGTGTAGCTACTGGTTGTGACTAAAGGCCTTGGTGGTGATCTGGGACATCACCAAAAGTGGTACGTCTCTAGTCCCATCCACTGCTCAAAGCCACACCACCTGAGGACTGCTTGCATGCCGGTGTAGAAATGCTCAGAGGTAAGAATATCAACGGGTCAAATCTCGACTGTAATCTCATGTCACATTCGGAACAGTATATGAGAGGTGCTGGGTGCTTGGACCGTTGGAGCTCTAACTCCATTTTTATAAAGGTATCAATGGATTACAGAAAAATAATGAAAAATCCCCTCCACATAACTGAACAACATTGTTATAACTTTTCTTTCGCACATCACAATTTTATGAAGTGGACTGGGAAATGTCTTGTGTTGTTCTAGTGTGCTCAAGTAAAGGTGGATTCCTAAGTCGCCGCCTCGCTTAACAGCCACATCAGAAATCATACCAAAAATTGTACAAAAACCACGATGATGCTCAATTTTATAGTTGTAAAGGCAAAACTGATGCCAAAACACAGCACAAAAAGACGCAGAATGGCAAAAGCGTGGAGAACTTGGGAATCGAACCCAAGACCTTTCCTAGTCTACTGTTGTGATACCACAAAGTGCGAAAGGAATGTTATACCCCTAAACCAGATCCCCATTGTAGTCAGTTGTCGGAATTAGAGTAATTATCAATATATACAGTTCATAGTTAAGTCAAGTGAGTGCACGGACCAGCTGCACGGACCAATCATATAGTTAGGCATTCGAGATGATTAGACCAAGTGATTATACAATTGAAGCTGTAATAGAACTGAGGCTCACCGCCTGCGGTCACGTGCATAGCCCAGCAACTCAGACCTTTGTGCCTTATCTTAGCGCCTTCTAGCTATCAATGAATTTCTCCGATTCCCTAATTTTTTTAAAAGATCATCCATACATTCCTTCACATATAGAGATTCATTGCCAAGTAAATCTTATGGTATTGAGTCGAATTCAGGTACTACCATAGATATGTCCTCAACTTCCGAATACACAAGGTTACACATAACCCCACTCAACCCCAACCTCCTCACTACCATAATACCTCCGTCAATCCTCCCCAATGCAAAGAACATCTCCTACCATACTCTCGAAACTTTCCAAGATAAAGCTTACGGCTTCGTTGACCTTCCTACCATGGACGCCGAAAAGTTAAAAAAGAAGCTCCATGGCTCCATATTAAAAGGTTCAAAGATCCGTATCGAAACCGCCAGGCCAGCGAAAGATCTAAGCCCAGTAGACGAGCCAGAAGAAGCGCCCAAACGACAAAGAGAAAGAAAAGATCCAAGCAAAAAGCGCAAACGTGGAGAGGAAACTATACCTGCTGCAGTAATTGGAGATAGGAAAGTTAAGAGGGGTTGGACTACAACAGCTGCGGATATCAGCAAAACCAAGAAGCAATCAAAGGAACTTAAGAATGTTGTCAAGTCGAAATATACTACGAATGAGGAGTGCTTGTTCAAGACGGTATTACCGCCAAATGTTGCGGCACATACAAAGGCTACGAGCGGTGAGAAATCGAGTAGGAGGAGTAAGAAAGGTAGAGGTATTATCGTACACGAGTTTGCCAAAAGTACGAAATATGCTACCTTCTTAAGAAGTACTACCGGAGGTACAAAGGTGAAAACTGCAGTGGAGTTTGTGGACGGTAAGGGGTGGGTAGATGAGGATGGTAATGTGGTGGAGGAAGTAGTGAAAAGGGTGCGGAAGAATCAGAAACCACAAAAGGAGAAGCCCGCTAAGGAAGAAGCAATGGACCAAGATGGTGATAATGGTAGTGCTTCGGATCAAGATAAATCTTCAGAAGAACAATCTTCTTCGAATGAATCTGATTTCGAGGAGCGAGTAATGAAGAAAGTGAAACGGGCATCAGAAGTCGAGAGTAGCAGCTCATCAGACTCAGAGAGTTCTGCCGATGAAAACGAGTATATCAAACCACAATCAATATCTGAAGACTCTGGGAAGCCGACAGCAGTCGATGCTAATGAGCTTCCAATCGAGGCAGAGAGTTCTTCAGATAGTGAAAACTCATCGGAGGAAAAAGAGGCACATGTCAATTCGGACCAGCCAAAAGTCTCTAAAACTGGAGCTGGAGCTGAATCAGAAAATGATGCATCATCATCAGGCTCTGACAAATCCTCGGATTCTGAGTCATCGGATTCCTCCGACGACGACTCGGAAGACGGAGATCTACCATCTATTGCAGCCTCTCCTCGGAACCCCTCCGCATCCACACCATCAACCATGCCACCACCCATCTCAACCAATACTCCGGAAACCAAAACAGTCAGACCTCAGTCATCCGCTGGCTTGAGTATCAAGATACCCTCCCCTATACCTCATGCAACCTCTATTCCCACAGAGGTCCATCCTCTCGAAGCTCTTTACAAACGCCCCAAACCTAATTCTGACTCCATCTCCGATGAGCCCAAACCCGAAACCAAATCAAACTCCTTTAGTTTCTTTGGTGCTGATGACGAAGATTCCGATATTGGCGAGGAACCCAGTCAAATCCCTTTAACACCCTTCAGCCAACGTGATTTCGAATATCGAGGCTTACGAAGCGCAGCACCGACTCCTGACACCGCTTACGTCAATAAGAGATTTGTATGGCCAGGTGGAAACGAGGATGATATCGGTGATGATGGCAATTCTCCGACCCCGAAAGAGTCGGTAAGTGGAAAAATCATATTTAAGGAAAAGGAATCAGAAGAGGCGCCTGAAAGTGATTTTCAGAACTGGTTTTATGAGCACAGAGGAGAGAATACGAGAGGGTGGAAGAAGCGGAGAAAGACTGTTGCTAAGGAGCAAAGGCATAGGGAGAACAAAAAGAGGAGTCGTGCTTAGTTTTCTATTACCCTGTATTTAGTCATGGATGAATCTCCTTTGTCGGATACCTTGCATAATGAACTGTTGGCTTTTCAATCTCTTATCTTGTCAGCTTCCATATAAGTTCTTAGTATAATACCATATTTCAATCATCCCCACACCATCACCATTAATGTCGCAGTAAAAAGCATTAATCACATCACAATCCACACACAGCACAGCACAGCATGGCACAGCAAAATGGCGGAAACCCATAAGGGCATTTTCGATTCTCTCAGTCCAACGAAAGTCAAACCGAAAACCACGAAAAGAAATCCCTCAAAACAGTTAAACCTCCTTGCCATCGAAAGTCCAACCATCTCTCTCTCGATCCCTCAAATTCCCATTTATATTTATTCTTTTCCGCAATTTCCACAAACTCGGATGCTAACGCATTTTTAGAACCTCAAATTAATATTCACTCATCTCGTGCCAAATAGCCTTCACCGTACGTATTATATGAGTATGTTTTTTTGTTCCTCGCTTCCTTGGTTTCTTTCTTTTAAATTTTCTTTTTCTCTCCTTTTGTGTGTGTGCGGTGCAATGATTGTATGTTTGCGCCATTTTCAAATCCGTAGGGACTGTTGTACAAGTCGCAAGTAAGTCTAGCTTTTGGGTGGTGAAAGAGCCGCTGTGTCTTGAGTCCTCTCGAGATATTGTGTCGAATCATGCAGAACGCAGTTCAATGCCAATAGTATCGAAAGTATACCGACCAGGAAAAATTCCAAATGAGTGTGTCTAGCCTTCAGCCGATCTAGTAATCATTATCCGAGTCCAGTTATTTCACGATATCAAATCGTAGAAGATCATACGTATCGTAGGCATCCTATCGCATTGCGTATATTTTGTGTTGTGACGAAAAAAGAAAGTGCATAATAGACCAGGTGGTCACCTAGTAGCGACTCCGGATCCTATGTCCGCGTAGTATTAGATTTGAAGGGAAAAACTCTCATGCATAAACTCTGAATATAGAAAAAGTCGCAGATGGTAGGTTTGTACTTGTACAGGGTATTGTGTATTCAAACAATTGTGATCGATTGTCCAAGAAAATTCCTTCTCTGTCTTTCTGTCGGGACCTTTCCGAAAAGTTCTGATGAAAGATGGAGATGGAAGATTTGAAGCTCGAACGAGATGAAGGTGAGAAAAATGCAAATAAAAGCAAACGTAACTTTTGAACATTACTTCTTTTTCCTGATGGAACGGAAGTAGGTTGAATGAGTTGTAAGAGCAGTAGAGTGTTAGATGGCTGTTCGCCGCAGATGAGATCCAATAGCCACTAAGTTCGGAGTGAAGGATGAGGGTGGGAAATCATTCGTACGCACGACCCTTTCCCTTGCCACTACCTGTGTAGTACGTAGCTGGTAAAGTTTCCATGTTGCCAGGACTGTTATCACCATTGTCGTTCATACTATCGCGATAGGGGTTTCGTGAGGCAAAGGTAGAATCAGTCAGATCGATATTATCTAATGCAGAGCTGTCCCCGGTATTCATTCTGGAAAGCATACTACCACCAGTAGCCTGCGGTGCTGTACGATTGTCAATGGCCTCCGGTCTGCGACGAGGATTATTGCTACCACTGTTGCTTGCAACGGCAGGTCCAGCTTCCAAGTTATCTTCACGCGATCCGTACTGTCTAAGTCTTCCATTCACGACACGCTTGTGACAGACCTTGGGTAGTCTATCACTAAGGTCAAGCGGAGGGGGAAACTGTTGTCCGAAAACGATCTGCTCACTCTGGTGAGTGAGACTCTTCTCCAATTTCTCTAGCGGACCCTCAGTCTCGACGCGTTTGAGGATAGGTGGCATTGCCATGTCTAAGTCGATTCTTGAACTCATACAAGATGCGTTGGGACTACTGGGTACAAAAGTATCCACAGCCTGTCGCTGCTGTAGTCCTGCGGGTGTACGATGCAAGGGGTGGGCAGATGGCATGTATGAATACACAGATGTCTGGGATGGTGCTGCAGACTCTATGGTGCCTCGGTCTCTGTTCCAAATATCCGTGATACCAAGTGAGGTCTGCAAGAAATGAAACTTAGTACTAGTCCTACGGAATGCTATGAAACCATGATTGATTGAAACAACTTGAACTTACCTCGGGAGCTGTAGTTTCTCCAAGGAGACTCTTCATCGCCAAGTCTCGATGAGGTGCAGCTGCTACCAGACTATCCCTACTTCTTACCGATGTCCAACTAGGAATTCCCATTGTACCGTAAGCCTCATCAGGCATAGAAGCGTTTGCTGAATGAGGTTCACTAAGTTTACTGGGTGTGTAATGATGGACTGAGAAATCATTGATGTTTCGAGGAGTTACTGGCTTCAAGACAGCTTGTGGTAACGGCGTTAGGGGCGTCGCTGGATTCGCTACCATGTAGCCATAGTTTTCAATTTCCGGACTGTTTAAACGGGGAGGCTCGTAATGCGGTCCTTCTCCAGTGCCATACGTAGGAACCTGTTCGAATCCATGGTGAGCATTTGGTACTCTTTGGAATATCTCCATATTAGGCCGAAGAACCTCGGTATAGGAATTTTGGACTCGTTGGGGATTATCGAAAGTCGACAAGGCCTCCTGACGAATAATATTAGCACCAGGAACCATTTCGAAAGATCTTTGTCCGTGATGGCCGCTTTCCAGATCACCGCGTCCAATACTTCCATCCACAATCTCTCGGCTGCCAGCACGTCGTCTAAATCCGGCACGAGGATGATATGCACTTCCGCGGAAGATCATGATACCAAAGGTTGTACCT